GACTAGATGATCCCCAGAGGTCCCTTCCAACCCCTGCCATTCTGTGATTCTGTGTGAAAGGGAAGGTGAGCTCTGGTCTTATTCTTGGGATTTCTTGCCTGTTCCCCCCACCCCACCCCTCCATTTTAATGTAGCAGCAGAGACCGCTGTTCAGAATGTGAACTACTCCCTCCTAAAGAAATTAATTATGGAGTTAAATTCAGTCATCCCCCTTACTGCTTGGAATTTTGAGGCGGGTTTGCTGTGCAGCTAGATCCCCATAAAGTGCCTTGTCAGACACAGTCTGTTTCATATGTACAGGTCACTTATTGGTCATATTTACAGTGGGTTGAGTACTGTTGTCCCAAAATGAGAATGACATCAGTGGGTGGTTAAGCCAAGACTGAAATCAAAGTCAGTGTCTTTCTGAAAAATGGACTTCTGAGATTACAATCGAGTGTAAGACTGCGTCCCTGCCAAGCAGCAGTTGTGCTAGAAGCAGTGTTGTTCGCATCAGCCCTAGCTATTCTTGATGAATAGCGTGCAAATTGTCTACCTAATTACACATAGAAGTGTTAGTGTGCACATAAAAATTGTATGTTGACATACGGATTCAGGCACTTAAGCACTGTTTCAGCCACGTGTCCATTTGTATTTTTTTATGCATAATTTGTGTCCAGGGAAATAGTATTTTTTTTGTGCTCTTGAGCTGGAAATAGGAGAAATAGGAAATAATTTTTTTCTGTCCAGTGTACAATGCTACTCTTCTGATAGTTCCTCGTTATTTAATTTTGATTTGTATTTTCTTGGTTTTAAAACCATGTGCTTTCATTGCCCTTGATTCAAAATAAATACATAAAAAATTTATGCTCGAGACGTACTGCTTATCCTTAGCAAAAGGCCATACTGTCACAAAGCGTTTGTGGGGAGCAGCTTACAAATTGAACCGGGTTCTGTGGGAACAGCAGTTAAGCATTTATCACATTTAATAATAAATACATTCTTGTGGCTGCTTGCCGTATATTCCCTTTTTTCGTTCTGAAATGAGATTCAGAGAAGAGTGAAATCTTGAGAAATAAACTCTGCTTTTGCAGATCCTTGATGATTTTGAGAAAACGCGGCCTGACGGATGGTGGCATTTTTCAATACTGTCGGTCCTGGAACTATAATTAGCAAACAGTTATTTGCCGATGTCTCCCTTTGTCTCTGGGTTTCTGGAGGCTCAGATGTTTCTTGGGTACCATTTCTAAGGGAGTGGGGTTGTAAAGTGTTTCGCTGCTCTTTAACACTTGCTTATGTGTGGCAGCTCTGCAGGGAATTGCTGGGGGGTGGAGGGAGGAAAATTAAACCTTTTTGACTGATCCGACTTCTTCCACCTAGCTCGCAAGCTTATATATTTAAATACGTGCTTCGATTTGAAGAGCAGAGGCAGAGCTAGAGCACGCGTGGTTTTGTACCTTGTACTCAAATAGCAGCGACTCTCAACAGTTTTGAATTAACTGTCTTGAGGGTTTGGGTTCACTTATGTTTTGCTTGAGACTCCTTCATGCATCTTGGATCAGACACTACGGTCACGTGACTGATGTGCGACCCACACTATAGAAAATTCTGTGAAAAGAAATTCAGATGGAGATCTTGAGCTGGGGAAAATCTGCAGACGAGAAGTGCTACCAGATTTGCATTTCGTAGTCTGCTGCGTGTAGTCCAAAACCAAAGTTTTCCGCATCCGAGGACATCAGGTGACTGTTGTGTTGGTTCCAGCTCACGGAGCCAGCTGTGGATGAGGACCCGTTATGCTAGGCACAGTGCAAACACACCATGAAATAAAATAGGCCTTCCCTCAGTGTTGTCGCAGTTTCTTATCAGCATAGCTGTCACAGGGGAGGGATGGCGCAGAAGTTGCATGTGTTGGTCCTAGTATGCCTTCCGCTTTAGCGGGTACCAAGGTAGGCAGCTTCTTGGGGAAGGTGCTTGGAGTGTTTCTTAGCTTTTCAGTGGAGGCTGTGAATAGATTTTAAAGCTTTCGGATGCTCAAGTGACAAGAGACTTTAGCTTGTTTCTTATTTATAGAGTTCCATATGTGTGAATGCAGCACTTCCCGACGCATAGGAGAAGAGGCTGCCTGCCCAGGAGGGACTGTCACCTTTCTTGACCTCTTCTTTTTTTAATATGAGCTCACCTCCTCTCGTGCCCTGGATTTAAACAAGAAGCGGTGTGCTTGTTCAGGCGGTGCCTAGCGGATGAGCTCTCCTGCAAAATGTCTGGAGTAAATCTACCTGAGTCATATCTCACAATTAAAGTCATATAGCACAGTACATGCAAATGAGCCTCGTCTGTGCTGCTGCTTTGCCTGTGGCTGTGCAGGAATACGAGCCTGGTTTTCCATGAAGAGAAAGAGCATGTAACTGCTTCTGTAGGATTCTCTTTTCCTGTCCTCTTGATTTCATGCTGGTGCCAGTCCGAGTGGCTGTGGCCCCGGCGGGGCTGCAGCCGCTG